CACCATGAGCAGGAGTGGAAAGCCAATGGGTCAGCTGAACTTGACCCACTGAAAGAGAAAGAAGCAGAGAATGGCAGTCCAAGAAGTTCCAGCACCAGAGAATGTGAGGAAGCAAATCTAAAAGGGCAAAAATGAAATGCCAGCATTGTCCTTTCCAAGGCTTTTGAAAACCTCACGAGGTGCAAGCTCAGAAGATGTCAGGAGACAAAAGCCAGACTGAAATGTGTCTGGAGTAGAGTCAGATGATGAAGATGTATGGTGGGTAGGTTGGGGGACAAAAGTATAACTGAAAAGGGCAGTAACTTCAGAGGGCAGTAAACTTGGCCTTTTCTCTCCTCAGTGCAACCCAAGTTAAGTATGAAGTTAGTGGGGCGGAGAGGAAAGTAAGAGGAGGATTAGCCATACAGAAGAGCTTTTTCTGTACTTCGCCACTGATGGGATTTAGCTTGACATAGAATCAGAATGGTTTGGGCTAGAAAGGACCTTAAAGGTCATCCAGTTCCAACGCCCCTTCTATCATAGAATCATAGAATGGTTTGGGTTGAAAGGGACCTTCAAGCTCATCCAGTTCCAACCCCACCTGCCAGCAGCAGGGACACCTTCCACTAGACCAGGTTGCTCAAGGCCTCATCCAACCTGGCTGTGAACACTTCCAGGGAGGAGCAACCACAGCTTCTCTGGCCAACCTGGGACACTGTCTCACCACCCTCACACCAAAGAATGTCTTCCTCAGATCTCATCTAAATCTACTCTCTTTTGGTTTATAACCATTACCCCTTGTTCTATCACTATAAGCCCTTGTAAAAAGTCCCTCCTCAGCCCCACCCTAGGCTGAACTTGCCCACCTGCAAGAAATAAATGCATGAAGGAATCGGGGCTCTCAAACATAACCCAAACATAACCTCTTCTTCTCTCAGATTTGCCTCAATGTGCCTTGTGGGATGAGAAGTTAGGCAGTACATTTTTTTCTGCACACTCATCTCTGCCTACAAACAGGCAATATGCATGAGTGCCCCTTCCCTCCCCACACTCAGCCCCAGGGCCAGCAGCAAGTGTGTGGCTTCTTCCCCGGAAGATGAGATACCTAGAGCATCATTTTCCCCGTAGTCACTGCAGTGAGACGAGTAAACATATTAGTCATTAAAACTATTGTGATTCTCTGGCTGACTTGTGCCTTCAGGAATGTCTTTCTAGGGGGGAAAAAAATTAAATTGCTTTTCAAGTGCATATGGCTTTGATGTTCAAATATGGTTTAAGCTCATAGTTTGTTGGTTTTTTTAAATGCTTAAAATGCAGATGTTATGTTGATATCTACTGTCTCTTCATCCTGTTTGTTCAGGTTAGAGAGTTGAAACTGTCCTGAAGCAAATACAGGTGTATTGGGAAAGGCAAAGTGCAACAGAATTGACTTAAGTAGATGAAATAGGAGATGTGATGATCACTGATAAAGCAGCTGGTCCTCTGAGCAATCTTTTGCACCCCAAACCCTAGTGTTTGCTATTCCCAGTGTATTCCTTCTAAAGGAGAGGTTTCCTTGTTGTGTGTTATTTATGGCTCTGATCTTCTAGGCACTGCAAGGCAGGTGAGTCTCATGAGAAAAGATAAAGCTGTATAATCTGTTAAAGGAGCACTGCAGTGTCAAGTCCTTTCTAAAGTAGTAGTTTTTATCTATTTCCACATAAAACCAGCCAAAGAGTTAGGAAGATGTCCATACTGGTGTGAAATGGTCTACTGGTGTAAATTTTGGATGTGTGATTCTCTCACCACCACCCTTTTACACTCCCTAGCAGAGGTTGAGCCTTCTCTGTCTAGTTCTGCAATAAAAATATGAAATGTTTTAGATGAGGCAGCTGGGGTAATTAACACTATATAAAGGTGCATTTGATTTTCAGAGTAGTACATGTACTTTGAGTTGAGGATAACAGGGGGGAAAAAAAAATCTGACAGGTGCCTCATTTGCAAGTGTTGCCTCCTCTGATGCTTTCCATGTGCTTTCTGTAAGGATGGAGTTGTGAGAATTGGGAGGCTGTAAGTCAATAGCAGCTGCCATGTATTTCTAAAAAAGCTCTTTATTGCCTGTGATGTGCATCAGATCATATCAACAATCATACTGCACCTTGCAGGCCCCCAAGCAGAAATGAAAGGGAATGTGGTGGGTTTTTGGAATCCTTTCACAATGATTTTACTGTATTTTAATGAGCAGAAATGACAGTTTGGTTATGTGAAGTTATTTCAGCTTGTTCCCTTTTGGTGGAGTTTGAGGTGTAGACAATCTTAGTTCCCTTACTACATTGATTTGAGGTCTTTTCCATGGTAATGCCACTTGTTGGGGATCTTCTTGCAGAGGCTTCATGTTGATTTGGGGGAAGAGTTTTTTCCTGGTGGCATCTAAAGAAAAAGTTGGCTGGAGGGGGTGGAAAAGGTATCCAAAAGACATGGACCTGTTGGAACAGGTCCAGAGGAGGGCCTCAAAAATGATCAGAGGGATGGAAAATCCAGGCTCCAAGGAGACCTTATTGTGTCCTTTCAATGCTTGAAAGGGGGCCTGTAAGAAAGATGGGGACAGACTTTTTAGCAGGGCTTGTAGTGATAGGACAAGGGATGATGGTTTGAAACTAAAAGAGGGGAGACTTAGACTAGATTTAAGGAAGAAATGTTTTACGATGAGGATGGTGAGACACTGGCCCAGGTTGCCCAGAGAGTTGGTAGAAGCCCCATCCCTGGAAACATTCAAGGTCAGGTTGGACTGGGCTCTGAGCAACCTGATCTAGTTGAAGATGTCACTGCTCACTGCATGAGGGGTTGGATAAATGACCTTGAAAAGTCCCTTCCAACCCAAACCGTTGGATAGATGACTTTGAAAAGTCCCTTCCAACCCAAACCATTCCATGATCTTTGAGCTGATGTTTATCCTGTGGTACCCAGACATTACTCAGCACTCAAAGGTCTAATCCTTGTGTGGGTGTTTTTAGTGGGTCACTTCCATGCTAGGCATCAGCTCCCTCACCTGCAAAGCAGGGATGCAGATATGAATGGGAGGAGGGGAGAAGGGAAGGAAGGGTGGAAAACAGGATGGTCTGGGGGATTTTCTCTTTCACAATGCTTTTAAGGATATAAATTGAAGTGCAAAGAGTTTATTTTTATTATCATTACAAAATCTGATTTGAATGCCCTATTGAAAACGACCAGTTTTGCTCCTATCAGTATTGAATAAGGAGGTTAATCTCTTTAACAATACATGAGCCTTTAAACTGACACAGCACTTCCTTCCTTTCTTTAGCTGCATGAGTTTCTCAATGTTGGCAAGGGGATTTCTGATGACATTGCACGAAGATTTCCAGTGTATGCTTTGGACTTCACTGACGGTATGTTGGCCAATGTTTATGAAAGCGTTGGCTTGATTTTGATACTTTTTTTTTTTGTGATGTGATGTCCTGTTTACAGTGTGCATTGAATGTGTTCTTTGATATGTGTAATAACTCTCTTATTTAAAAGAATATTTTGACAAAACCTGTGAATAGGCAGCGTGGTGTACTACAGATGAGAATCTTGCAGTTTGCCTTTGATGAAGATACTCGCTGTGTGTAGATGGGGATTTTAATATTTTTTTAAGCAATGAGGTGATTAAGTGGATTGATTGTTGTCGTGGGTTAGACACAGATCAACTTCTTGCAAACTAATTAGTCAGCACTGGTCTAATAGGCCCATTCTGCTGTCTTTGCAAGCCAGCATCAATAGTAATTATGGTGATGCTGTGGGAGTTGAGAATGCCTAAACAAAATCTGAGCTGCAATAACTTCAGCTCGGTGCTTTTAAAAACAGGATATAGCTTGTCTGCTGTAGCCAGATCACAGCAGCAGCAATCCAATGTTTATACTGAGCCTCAGGTTTTGGGCTTTATATAGTTCCTAGAATGGCCTTGTTAGTTTTAAGAGTCACTTTCTCCCTTTTCACTTTCAAACTTTCACTTTCAGAGCATCTTTAAAGGCTGTGAAAAGTCTTCAGGGCAAACTGTGATTTACAGAGCTTCAGCCTGACATCAGAACATGTTCAGTTTCTTACAGCTTATTGGAGAGCTGGTGAATGTATTCAAGTATCAAACTGAAAAAAGTTTGCATAAAATAAAGATGTAGACTGTAGGAAGGGAGAATCTTAAAGCTCTGACAGAAACCTTCCTGCTGTTAAATCCTCCTTAGCTCAAGCCACAGTGTCCCAGTCTTCTCCCCTTCACCTCTGCTGAGGGATATCTCCCTTGGAGTTGGCATAAGAACACCAGATCCTCACCTGAGCCCTGTTTTGTAGACAAATAATCTGGTGCAAAGCCACCTTCCACAGCAGCTTACGCTGAGAGCAAGTGTGGCCAGGTTACGGATGCGTGTCCTCCAATCCATTTCAACAAGGATGGTCACCACCAGCAGAGGAGTAGAGCAATCAGCTGTTGAGTGAAAGAGATGTCATGTGTCAGTCTGAGGGAGCTGCCAAGTGGCTGTTTCCTAAAAGATCCATTTTTGTCTTCTGAGACTGCTTCATCCACTGTGGTGGGTTCTGAAGTTAGTGGTATCAACTCTGCTGGGAAGAGTAAAATGAGATGAGATGCTGGCTTAGCACAGTGGTTGAGTGCTGGATGCTTTCTCCAGGTAACTGCTGAGATTAAACTCTTTTTATCATAGAATCATAGAATGGTTTGGGTTGGAAGGGACCTTCAAGATCATCCAGTCCCAACCCCCCTGCCAGCAGCAGTGAAACCTTCCACTAGACCAGGTTGCTCAAAGCCTCATCCAACCTGGCGTTCAACACTCCCAGGGAGGAGCAGCCGCAGCTTCTCTGGCCAACCTGGGACACTGGCTCACCACCCTCACACCAAACAATTTCTTCCTCACATCTCAGCTCCATCTCCCCTCTGCCACTTTCAAGCCATCACCCCTTGTTCTCTCACTCCCTGCCCTTGGCCAAAGTCCCTCCCCAGCCTTCCTGGAGCCCCTTCAGGTTCTGGGAGGCCACTAGAAGGTCTCCCTGGAGCCTTCTCTTCTCCAGGCTGAACAGCCCCAACTCTCTCAGCCTGTCCTCCTAGGAGAGGAGTCCTGGAGTGAAAGGAGGGCAGGTTCTGTTTGAAGTGAAGCTAATGCTGTGTTCTCTGAGGACTGAGGGTATGCTGAGGAGGAAGGCAGTCAAGAAATTATTTTCAGGGTAGCAGCAAAGAGTCTGATAAAACAGATAAAATATTTGTCCTGCATAATTGGCACTGGGTCTGGCAGGTGATTTAAGCTCCTGATTTGGACGCCTCTGGAGTGGATTAAGGACACTTCATGTCTGACTGTTGCTTTGTAAGGCTGTCAAAAATCTAACTTTTCATGATAAAGGGATATTGAAGCACTTCAGAAGGGAAGTGCTGCAGAAACACCTTGTGGGGACCCACGTGCATCTCAAGATAGAGAGGTGTCTGCTGTGGCTGTCAGCATCCTGGGCTCAGCAGGTTCACAGGCATAAAAGCATCATATGATGGTGCTGCAGCCAACTTTGACTGTCAGCAGATTAGGAAATCCATTTCAAGGTCTGTGTTCTGGCTCTGCATGTATCCAAATTAACCTGTGTATACTGCCTCTCAGCCCTGGGGCTGCTAGCTATAGCCACGTCCACAAGCTTTCCATGAACTGATGTACACAGCAGATCAGGCTTGGCCTGAATGAGGTTCTGGGATTGTCTAGCTTGAAAGAATTGTTTTCTTGGTTGCATCTGCCTTGAGTGATGAAATACTTTTGTAGTGAGAATCCAACATTACAAATATTACAGAAAAATAGTTTAGGTATAAAATGCAAATTTATGTTAAAAAGTGTCAGTGAATTAACACAATTCTGGAGAGTGGAAGGTGCAAAATGAGCCAAGGGAAACTCAAGACCTATTGCAGCTCAAATGTGAAGTACCCACCTTAGGAGCCCTTGTGCTCTTTCAAATAAGACCTGGAGAAAAGAGGATTTTTCTAAAACCTATATTTATTAGTATGTGCCATTTCTTCCCCGAAACCAGAAATTAGGACGTGAATTCTTTAAGGATCTGCATGGAATGAAAACCAGATGGAGCATAAAGCATGTGCCATAAACCACCAAGACTGCAAGGTGATCAGGAATGTGAAATTCCTGGACCATCTCAAAGCAGCAGTGTACCAGAACATTGAGGATTTGAGCTATCCAAGTATCTGCACTCCAGATAACCACACGTGCATCATCAAAGAGCTCTGAATTAAAGATGCCTTTTATTTTTTTGAATGGTTGAATTCTCTAAATCCTCACTCTGAGAAGCATCCTGGGGTTTTAGTTTAGTCAGATAAGTCGATTAAGGACAGGGTGATAGATAATATATGGCTTGTGTAGGGCCCACAAATGTTTTGTCAGTGGGACTTTTGCAGGATTGGTCTTCTTCACACACTGTACAAAGCTGGCCATTAAATTATCCTTAACCATCATGATTTGGGAGAGGAAAGAAAGGAATTATCTTTCTCTTTTTTTTTTTGTTCTTTTTCCCTCAAGATTAGGAATTTGTCAGCTTTAGGACTGCTTTGGATTGTAGAAGTTTTGTGCATTTTACTGAACGTGGAAGGATCAAGGAAGTTTTTCTAAACTTTTGCTCCAGGACTTTAGTGATATGGATGGTTTATAATAGGTGTCTTCCAGCAGGAGCATCTGAAGATGAACAATTGGATTATACTGAGCCTAAAAACACCTGTAATTTTCCTTTGAAATTAGGATTAACGCAATTTGGCATGTTGTCTCCTCTGAATAACTAGAACCTTTGTTTATGGGATTCTACTTTCTTAAAAAAAAAAAAGTTTGTACAGAACTTCATTCTGATCTTGTCAAATAGGCTCAAATCATGTGTGTATCAATATTTATTACTCTTTAAACAGCTCAGTTGAACCGTAGGAGCTTCCTGATTTTTTTAATTGTTTTTTTTTTTTTTTTAATTTATGTATTTTGAGGCTGGTTTGAATGAAGGAAGGAATTCTTCTTGGACTCTGAAACAAGTTTCCTGAAACTCCTTAAACTTGCTACTCTTTAATATTTTATTTTTTTTCTAAATTGTGTATTTTCTGGTACAACACAGAGGAATAAACACTTATTAATGTAGTGCCTGGAGTGCCCAGAGGAGAAATCTGAGGCTTTTATGGTGAATTTCAATGCTGTGTTCTGCCATATTCTTTCACCTCTTGAGGAGAGAGGGTGAAGGGAAGAGAGGAGAGCTGAGATGTATTGTTTCCCCCTGTTTTCCTTGAACCTGTGTCCTTGGCATTCAGCTGTGGTGAGTGGATAGTTCAGCTGGAGATGTGGATTCCTCCCTGTCCTTGGTCCTGCAGAGGGTCCCTAACCAGCTCCTGAGAGTAAGACAAGTGCATCTGCTGGCAGGATTTGGTGGTGGTGTTTTGCAAGAGGGGGATCTCCAAAGCTCCCTATAACGCAGGCATGCTTAGAAAGGAAGGCTTGAAGGCACTGGAAAAATGGGATTTGAAGAGGGAAGCTTTGTCTTGCTGGTTGGGTGAGATAGCACAGAGATTAAACCTGCTAAAACGTTGACTGTGGGTTGGCTTTGGTATGTGCCAAATCTTCATTGACTCTCCCACCTGGTTGCACTGGTCACCCTGCTTGGCAGGATTGCATTCTTGAAGGAGGAGGAAAAAAAAAAAGAGGTTGCTGATAGGCTTTTTCCCTTCTCTTCAGTGTCTCTGCTGCCCTAGGTGAGATGTTGAGGTAGCTCCTGCATCACTCTGCAGCCCTTCATTACTAAATATCACTTTGGTGTAAAAGTTGAACAGCCACTTGAAGATGACCTCTTGGACACTTGGGGGCATCATGACTTGAGTTCTCAGCTATGATGCTGTTGACATTTCTCTATCAGTGGTGGATGGGGATGTATTAAAGATGCATAAAAGCATCTTGTTTTGTCTGTGGATGATTCCTGCCAAGAGTCTTGTGCTTCATGGGGAAATGGGCTGAAAGAAATGAGAGAAGAAGGGAAACCTCTGAGCCCTTGATTTGTTTCTTCATACTTCTCTAGTCTGAGCATATGCTTCGCTTCTCTGCTCCAAAATCAGTAAGGGTGGATTTCCTTTTCCAGCTAAGTTCTTAGTCTCACTTGTACTGTGATTTACTCTTCACAGGACTTTAGGGAAGATTCCTCTTCTGTTCATCTTCAGAAAATTGGGCAGAGTCCAGCAGCTATTAACATAAGTGAAAGCCCAGCTTAAGGACATTAGCAGAAGTTTGTAATGCTTGGAGGTTTTTATGGCTCAAAACCTGTGAACAGTTATCTTTACTGTGTGTTCCTACCGTTGGAGGGTGATTATTGTTGTTTTTTTTTTTTAAATCAGGGTTTTAATAGACACATCCTTGCTGCTATGCTGTAGATCAGTATAATTAACTTGTTTTGTGTTGGATATTTCAGAGAATTGGGAAGGAACATTAATAGTCAGACATTTCATAGAATGTCCATCTGTCTCAATTTTGATTCAGTAAATGTACAATTAGTAGACTTAAGAAACTCTAGTCCTGGTCTCTTGGTCATTAACTTGATGCAGAACACCAACCAAACTGAGGCCAGCAACGCTGTAGTTTTCTCTGAAATGCTGACCTTGTCTTTAAAAAAACCCCCCAAAAACTACAACATTTCAGAAATTCAAGCAGGTAAAATAGAACTGTCATGTTGACGAATGTAATTGCTTCCCATGTCAATGTGTAGATGTACCTTAATTTCAAGGGATTGTTGCTGTAATAGTCAGGTAGTCAAATTTCACAGCTGGGCTGAGAGTTTATTTTCTGCCACAAATTTACATTATGCAGTTGGGAGTGACACGTTTTTCAATAGCTTTATGAGCCTGCTGCAGATGAAATGCCATCATGATGCAGCCCACCTTCTTTTAAATGAAGTCATGTCAGTCCCTGAGTTGCAAATAGACCCAGGAAATGTTTAGCCAGATGTTGACTTTTAAAAGGTAAAAGGTAAGTTGTGGTTCACACTCAATTTTAATGCTTATCTCAAGTGGTTCTGTACAAGGAGGCAGTATTTGCTCATGGTTTTAACTGCAATTAAAGAATGATTAATCATGTTTATGAAAGGGTATGTTTAATCTGAGGTAGTTATTGTCTCCATTATGAAGTGAATTTTGCTGTCCATCAGTAGAGATTCTTTGCTCTTTGGATCTCACGTGGCTGATTATGAACTAAAGTACAGCTTTGTGTTGGAAGTCTTGGACCCAGCCATGATGTGGCATAAGGACCTCCATGATCAGCAAGGACTCCTGCTGCTTGCTTTGCAAGGATTGAAGCTGAAACTAAAAGCCATGCATGAAGCTCTTCAAGGCTTCTTCCTTCCTTCTGCCCTCTCATACTAAGGTTTATCTACCTGAAAGCTTTTGTTTTGTTCTTTTTTTTTTTTTTTGAAAGCACCTCATCATTTATGTAGTTTTCTCTGCTCAGCAAATGAGCTTTTTTAATATTAGTTGATTCTCTAGTCCTGGATGCCTGTTGTCTTATGAATTATTTCAAAGCTTTCAGGCATTGTTGCCTCTGACCTTTCATGTTAGGACATGTTTAGGACAAGAAGAAATGGCCTCAAGTTGCGCCAGAGGAGGTTTAGGTTGGATATAAGGCAAAACTTGTTCACCAAAAGGGTGGTCAAGCATTGGAACAGGCTGCCCAGGGAAGTGGTGGAGTGACCATCCCTGGAGGTATTTGAAAGATGTGTAGATGAGGTGGACTTAGGGACATGGTTTAGAGGTGGACTTAGCAGTATTGGGTTTACAGTTGGACTTGATGATCTTAGAATCGTTTTGGTTGGAAAAGACCTTTATGTTGGAAAGACTCCTTTGTCCAAAAAAAGTGGTATTGTGCAGCAGCATAAAATCGTCTGAACAAGGCTGTGACCGTCTCTATTTATAAAACTACCACTCAGTCCACTGTTTGCCCTGCCAGGTCTTTCCTCTTCTCTAAAGGTCTCGGGCACTTGAGAGTGTGAGGTAGGAGCGTGCAGCTGTTAGACTTGATATCACATGAGAAAGCTTCATCTCCAAGAAGTAAATTTCAGGCCCTTTGGTTGCCAAGACTGGTCAGGAATGTGGTCTGTGGTTTCTGAATCTTCACAATAAATTGAAAGGAATCTGCCTTGAAACAGCTGGTCCTATGACTCCTGGAAGGTCAGGCTCATATTTGCATGCTTGAGATTTCTCTTGTCAAGTTTCAGTCCCTGTGCTTTTTTTTTGAGGATGCTGAGCATCAGAAGTCCTATTTATGTCTGTTCCTCTCGTGTCTGTGGCCGTCACAAATTATCCTTTATTCGTGTGGCTGCCTGTTCTTTACACATCATCTTTGATTTTTGGGTTTTGCGTCTTCCTTCTGTCCTTATCTCTGCACTACAAATGGTGCAGAAAACAGATGTTAGATAAGATCCTAAAGTCATTGAGTCATTTTTTTTTTTTTTTCCATTCCAGTGATACAGTTAATCTGTTGTGGCAATGTCCAGATTTTCTGTGTTGCACCAACAGCCTCTATTGCAAAGCCCTCTCTTCTCTGATTCATCTCATTGACTTGTAGCTCCCTCAGCAAGGGATTTATGCTAGAAAAAGCTTACATGGGCATTTGGGAGCTCAGGAGCCAGGTGCCTGTGTGTGGTTCACTGCTCAGGAGGCTTCCAGAAAGGGGAACTGGGTGACTCTAAGCTTGTCCAAGTGTCTCGCAGCAGTAACATCATCAAGGATGGTCAGCTGAAGGCTGTTTCAAGGTTTTCTTTGTAAAGGCCCTCTCTGATGTATCCTCTCTGAAGAGGTTGTTCTATGGAAAAAAAACTTGTGTCCTCCTCAAGCAATATCAGCCGTTGTCATCTCTCATCCTTTCTGTTGTGTGGTATGAGCTAACGGGGGATGGACATCAGCCTGAAAACAGGAAAGGGAAGCTACTTCAGAGGCCCTTAAATTCATATTTTGACACTTTAATTCTCTATCTGGCTGCTTTTGTTTTGACCTGGTATGTTTTTTCCGATGGAGATGAGAGGGGGTGAGTGGATGGAAAAGAAAGAAGTAATTCTTTCAGAAGGGCTTTTTTTTTTTTTAAAGCAAAACTCATAACGTGTGCATTCCTGACCTCTTGTGCTATTTGTTTTTGTAAGTCTGCTAGCACTAATTGGCTCAGCATAGCATATTATTGATTCAAGCCTATAACCTCAGATTTCTGCCTAGGGAAAAATGAAGTGCTTCATGTTTTCCTGCCCAAAGCATCAGGAGTTGCAAAGATGACTGATCATCGTGAAGCTCGTTAGGGGCATAGACCAGAATACCTATAAATTTGGTATTAAAAAAGCCAGAGAGTGGGGGAGCTTCTAAACCCTGAACTTACGGTTTCTACTTTGATCCTTTTCCAAACTTTTGGGGCTGACAAAACTGAACAAAAGTCTTCCAGTATTTCCCATTTTGATGATACCAGAAATGTCTGTTGAAACAGTCTGGTGGCATGTTGGTGCTTCTGGTCCCAGATGAACAAAAGAGCATGGTCGTGCAGAAGCAAATGTTAAAGACCTACCTATACATTTAAAGTGTGGACTGAACTTCTACTTTTGCCTTTCAGCATTAAAAAGAACTAATGGTACATACGACTGATGCAAGTAGGGTTTCAATGCTTTACAAGTGGGCAGTACTAACCTGATTTTTGTTATGGTTTACACTAGGTGTTATTGGAAACAACAAAGCTATAGGAAAGTACATCACAACAATGATCTTTCTGTATTTTGCCTGCCTCCTTCCATCCATTGCATTTGGGTCACTCAATGATGAAAATACCCGAGGAGCTATTGGTGAGTTTATCAGCTTTGTGTATCTGTTATAGGATTCCATGTATTCAGGTTGAGTAGCTCTGGTCACAGGACGCTTTGATAGTTTTTATTTGATAAATAGAACACTACTGAAGGCTTTTCTAATTGTTATGTTCATGACTGTTTCTCAGAAGACTAGAAAAATTGAACACAACTTTGGATAGTATCATCTAACTTGAACTGATAGTTATGTGCTACCATACTTCTGAATGATGCTCACTTTATAACCTTGTAGTTATCTGCACATTTTTCCTACGACAAACTCTTGTGCTTTTGATCAGAGTCTGGTTACCAGTATCCAGATCACTGGTATAGCAGAGGATGCTTTGTTCTGTCCCATTTGTAGCCCTGAAGCAGTTCATACTGCTGTTACAATTCATAGGACTCTTAGTTGAAATCTTGCCCTGAAGGCCTTCACAAACACTGGTTATATTTTTATAGTTGTTTAAAATATTAAAACAAAAAAAAACCAAAACAAAAAAACAACAACAAAAAACCCCAATGTGAACAAAAAAAACCCCCCACCCAACTTCCATAGTTCAATATCTAGAAACCTGGTGGCAACCTAAATTATTGGTACAAGTTTGCAGGCAAAGGGTTACTCCTCGCTTTCCTGATGTCTCACCTCTATACCCTCTTACGCGTTAGCAGTTGGCTTCTACACCTTGTGAATGCTCCTTGGTCGGGGAGGTGTTGGTTAAAAACCTTGTTTGTTTCCATCCTTTCTAATTACTCATAGATGTGCAGAAGACAATCGTCGGCCAGTGTATTGGAGGGCTGCTTTACGCGCTCTTCTCGGGGCAACCTCTAGTTGTGCTCCTAACCACGGCTCCTTTAGCACTCTACATTAATGGTGAGTCTATTAAATGTCTACATCAGGGGACCAATGTGATTGCAATCAGTGGAGTGGGACTTTGTACAAGAACCTTGCGATACTGTTGGAGCTTTAGTTGCATTTGTTTAATAAATCAATTTTAAAGGGCTGCTTCCAGTGCTGAAGGAGAGGGGAAGAATTTGATTGAGGTTTAGTTAAAGTTGGTTTCGAAAGGAATCATCTTTCATAAAAAAAAAAACATTTCATGAGAATAAGCATTTCTTCTTCAAGGAAGAAATCCCTTTCATCTCATGGTTTTCTCATGTGGCTGCATTAAACCAACTTGAGGATAAGAGCCTGAGACAGACTTTTTTGTTGATTGAGGGGTTTTTTATTTTTTTATTATTGATCTGTTAAGGTTGATCAATAGTTTTCCAGTTACAGCTACAAGCTGATATTACTGAGCCAGAGGTGTAAAAGAGCAAACTCCTGTATCTATAGGAACAATCAGATGGGCTATGATTAGTTTGAAAAGTTTAAGACATTAAGTTTTATCTACAATTCAGTGACTGAGTAAACATACTGCAAAAGCATGTATGAGATCTCTTGCTCAACAGCACCCTGAAATGCCAGCGAGAGCAAATTCCAAAGGCTGATTTTGTGGCCTTGATCCCTGGGAAAGATCATAGAATCATAGAATGGTTAGGATTGGAAGGGACCTTAAAGATCATCTAGTTCCAACTAGTTCTAGGTGCTTTGATCTTTGATCTAAAGATCATCTAGTTCCATCTAGTTCTAGATGCTTTGAGCAGTGTGGAAGAATATTCTTCCATGTGCTTCTCCCCATTTCTACTGAAGGAAGGGGATGGGAAAGGGGAGAACAGTTTAGGTTGATCCAGTGTTCATCCAAGAGTGTATGAATGGGGGTTTAATCATATCTTCCATTAGTGTGTTGCGGTGAAGTCTTGAAATTGGTTCTTTTTGCTATCAGGCATCTGGGAATCACAGAGTGGTAATGACAAAAGTTTAATCTGACAAGTGAATGCTTCATTTTTGCAGTCATCCGAGGAATTTGTGATGACTACAACTTGGATTTCAGTGCTTTCTATGCCTGGATTGGACTGTGGAACAGTTTTTTCCTTGTGATGTACTCCCTCTTTAATTTCAGTCTTCTGATGAAGCTCTTTAAAAGGTAGTTATTTTCAAGAAGTCATATTGTGTTCAGATTATTCAGCAAATGGAAAAATTATACATTCCACAAGCTCTTTAATTACAAACTTGCTGCAAAATGTATTTTGCAAGATGAGGCTAGTATCATTTCAGCTTATTGTTCTAGCTTGAAAGAAGCTTTTAAAGATTCACTGGGTTTTGTTTCCTGAGTTGGAATCTAACTAAAATTGGTATATTTTCATGTAAATGCATGAATATGCTCATTTTCTTTTGAATGGAGTTGAATGCAGACTCTACTAATGGCTATATTAATTCCTGGGATTTTTCCACAGGTCAACAGAAGAGATAATTGCACTTTTTATATCCATCACGTTTGTGCTTGATGCCTTCAAAGGTATTATTAAAGGTAAGTCTTGCAATGATGTTTTTCAGTGCAGATCTCTGCTTTGCTTCCTTGTCAAAGGGACATACAAGGCTGCAAATATGCATGATGTTTGCTTGTTTCATGTTCATTCAGGGTCTTCAGGGGGAAAAAAGAGTGTGTGAGGTTAAAGTAGCCATGTGTCAGCAGTGTGCCTGGATATGCAGAATTTCTGTCAGCTCAATTGCAGTTAGCTGAGATAGAATTAGTGTCTTAACTTAAATGGAGAAACTGTATTAATGTTACTGTGAAAGGCTTCCCCTGGTACCAGTCTCTTTGGTCTTGGCAAAAAAAACCCCAAACAACAAAAACAAACAAAAAAACCCCACCCAATTTAAATGAAGTGCATCTAGACCTTTTTCCTTGCCACGTTATTAAAGCTACATGGAGAGGAGTCAAAAGATGGATTGAGATTGTCCATTCTTAGGTGAACTCAGAGATTCTTCTCCTATAATGGCATCAGAAGGACTGCAATGCCTTCCAGCGTGTTCCTGAAGCTATTCTGCCCTTTCCAACCACTTTCCCCATGTCTGGGTTAAGTTCTAGGTGAGTTCTCCCTGAGCAGACCTGGGATTTAACAAGTCACTCTGGTGCCTCTCTTCCTCCTGATCAGGATTGGCAGAAGGTATTTGTGAAGGTGCAAGACATTAGCAGCAATGCCATGTGAATGGCAACCTTTCTGTTGGTCCCAGTGAGGAGTTGACCATGTCTACATTCCTTATTCGTTAAGACCTATTGTACAACAGTGCCAAGGTTGGGCTATCCCCTGACATCCTTCAGAAGATACCTAACCACACTGAGCACATCCCTTGTTTTCAAGATCTTGGCTCATTATGATATCTTGCACAGAAGGAGAACACCTTCAAAGAGCAGGTTTGACACTGCAAAGCAATTTGAAGTGAGATATTGCCTCGCTTTGTTGGGAATCCTTAATTTGGCTCCTTGGGCATATGCTTTGATTGTGAAATCAGAGGAGTTTTTTTTTCTTTGCAGAACACCTGCATCTTTCAAATATCCTCCTCAGACAAAGCTTGATGATGGAAAAACTGTTCTGAAATACTTTGCTTTCTCGGTGCTTGATGTTTAGCTTAATGTGTGCTGTTAGTGCCCTGTTCAGGAAGCATGAAACAGTCTCCCCATGGCACTAAGGTGTTCCTCTACAGAATGTTCAACTGCTTCAATTTCATATTCAATATTCAATTTCAGAATATTCTGTAAAAATCAGCAAATGCCAATGTTCACAGTAGAGAGCTGATTTCCTATAGCAGGGGAATGAGGTACAGGTTAAAGGTACAGAAAGCATCCATTGTTCTTGGTTGCCAGACTTCCAGGAATATGCAAGTAATACCTCAGAGTATTGTAGTGGGGAGAGGAGAGGATCCTGGAAGTTAATTAGCGTAATTAGTGTCATTCTCCCTTGTACTTGGGAAGGGCTGAGTTTATAGGAACAATGGTAATAAAATCAAACCAACGCTCCATTCATTGACAAGCTCATGTTGGCTTGAGCTGCATCTGGGAGCGTTCAGTGCATCAATAGATGGGACCTCAAGTCCAGCCAGATGAAGAAGGACACAGATACTGATACAAGCAGACTTTATCCTTAACCTTCTCAGTGGTCATACTTAAACACATGACCATCAGTAAAGCTCATGGTTGCACACTCATCTTTCTTCTGCTCCTGTTTTGTAGCAGGAGGTGATGGTTGCTGCTTCATTCTCCCACTCAGAACTTTGGTTGAGCAGTTAAGTAGGAAGAGAAAGCTGGTACCACACAGTTTGATGTGTCCTAGTAACAGCTAGCCAGCTGACGGGGACTTTTGGGCTTCTTGAATGCCAGGGGACATCCTGCTTCTTACTCAGATATGTTTTCCTCAGTCTGTTCATAGGCTGGATTTTTTGATTATTATTTTTTTTGCAAGGTACTCGTAGATGTGCAGGAAAGAAGGGGGGGAGGGATGCGATACTGTACAGAGGAATCAAGCCATGTGCATTCACACTATCCCAGTGACACTTTGTTTTTGCCATGTGGCCCAACCACCAAAGCTGTGTTTGTTTGATCTTGACATCTGCACTCTGCAGGAAACGGCGGTGAGCCGGCCGAAGCAAACAAAGCCAGTTAATGTTGTTGGAGGGAACTTGAGTGCGTGCTAATTTGGAGAATGGCTCTGTTTCAGCAAGGGCACCACCTGCTTTGCTGCTCTCTCTGAATGTGGGCAACAAGATTCACTCAGCTCTGTTATAAAAACAAACTATAAATCTGCAGGAATCAAATACTTTATAGCAAGTCCATGGTGTAGGGTGAAGGCATCTGGCTAAACATCTTGGTGCATTCTCATTTCTTTAACTAAAATACAAGAATAAAGGCAAAGTTTCTCCCCTTATATCCAGGATTGAGTGGAGCAACCCTGCCTAGTTTTGAAGTGGGTGCAAATTGAGTTGCAGCCTGAGAGGTAGTGTAGGAAGATATAGTCAGACTGAACACAGAGCACCAAAGATGTGCTCAGCCCTAAATATATTATTGCAATAGGTGTGCTCAGCCCAAAATGTATTATTGCAATATAGCCAAGTGTGGAAAATGAAGAAAATCCACAAGACCCAAAGTAAATTATTTCTTGTTTGTTCCAGTTGAAATCTAAATAGAGAGGCATGCAAATAAGTTCTGCATAGTTGCTGGGTTGTGTGTGCTCTTGGTTTGTCATGTGCTTAGTAAGTGTGTGTGTGTCTCTAGGACTTAAAAATGCTTAGGGTCAGCTGAGATGGTGAACAGGCTTTTAGCCCTGGCCAGCTGCTCATCCCCAGGAAATACTGCCATAATAATTTTTGTTAGGACAAAAAGTGTCCTTTAACGTTCAGAGCCGGAAACTGCAAATCCTCCAACAACCTGTTCTGTGTTGGTGTGCAGGTCATAACAGTGATCTGGTTGCCTCAGTTTACCTGTTTGCAAAGCAGGTGTGGGTGTCCTGCCTGGGCTGGACACAGCTGTGAGGATGGAGGGAGGAAATGATAGCAGAGCTTCTTCCGTAGCACGCGATGTAGAAATACGCAGTGCTAATGGAGGTTGTAATGAGATTGCTCCTTATTGGGGGAAGCTTCCTCATGCTTTAGAAGTGCACTGATCTCCTCATTTCTGGCTGCTGCTGAGAGAAAAATTGACAAGTTAAATCTTGAATTGGAAACCTTCTATGATCTTTAAATCTAGATCTTCTATGATCTACATATACATTTCTATTCCATTTCATGGAATGTGAAGTAACCGGTCTTCTCCTGCGACCTTCAGGTCCTACTGACCCCATCCATTTGTCAAATATCCAGGTCCCTTTTACAAGGTGGTACAAGAAGGGTTATTACTGCTGTTAAAATGGCAGCATAGTAAAACATGGGGTATTTTTACATTGGAGTGAGCTCCAAACCAGCAATAAGGCAAACTGTGTTTTGGCCAAATTCAAGGTGGTTGCGAATACCAATTGTGCTTCGTAAGAATGTTTAAAGTTTGTTTTGCTTGTTTTCAAATATTTAGAATTGGAGTTTGTTTTGCTTCTTTTCCCCTGTAGCTGCTGCAGATGGAAATGCCGAGATGGTTGGGGTTTTAAAGAACATGATTATTATTTGGAGGTGGGGGGAAAATGTTATGAGGAGCTTTATAGCTTAAGCTTCAAATTGTTGTATTTTTGCCTAAAGAGGATGGTCTTGCCCTAAACTTCTGAATTTCCCTATGCAGAGTTTGAAGGGATATTTTGACTAAAGCAAAGAAAGGTAGAGGGACTGCAAAGCTCTGACATGGTGGTTTCCATCCTCCATTATCTTCTGTTGGGATGAAGGAGAGTGGGTGCTGCCATCTGACCACAAAACATGGGAATATTAAGGCTGCAAAGCCCAACTCCCACCTTCTGATTCCATTTGCTCCTTGTTGCACCTCAGGCTCTTGTTACCAAAAGAGCTGAAATCATCCCTAAACCACATTTATCTGCTTGGAGACAACCAGTGCCGTAGAAATGAGAACACGACTGTCTAAATGCTCAAAAGCAAGAGTGTATTTACAATTGTTAATATTTACAATTGTTAATTACTTTTATAAATGCCTTTGAGCTAACCTAAAATATTTATGAAGGGTTCCAGAGGTATTACTGGGTGTTTCACTTGTACAGGTTTACTTTACATGCTCTCTAACTCTTGTTTCAATTTGCAGAGTAAATTTAAATGTTCTGCAAGGTTTTGCATGATACTTATCTTTAAAAATCTGGGTTAACCTTGGAGGAAAAGTAATTATTGTACGTTTTGTAGTCCACTTAAGGATCTGGGCAGCCTGGCTGCTCTTAATTATTTCAAAGATCCTGATGGAATATGCTTACAAGGCTGCTGAATGTAGGTGTCTTTAGATAGATATAGATATACATGAGAGCAATGACTCCAGTGCTAGGAACAAAATCATGGAAATAATTAGCACTGGAAGTCTTTACAGTTCAAACATGTTGCTTTAGATAAATTTAACTTTTACCTGTTAAAATAAATGAAAAAATAAATTTGTAAAGCACTGGCTTTATAAAAGCAGCAGCTCTCCTGATTTCTTTTCACTGTTTTGAGGGGTAGAGCTATAAGCCTGGTGAAGCATAATGTTAATATTGCATGATCAAGCAAGAACAAACCACTTTATTTTACTTGCTTTGATTGTCACAAACCTATCCTAATGCTTGCCTGTTGGTTGTTTGTACAGTTTTTAAGAAATATTACTACCATGGGCGCACAGGAGACAGTTACTTGGAAAAAGCACGAACTGATGCTATTCCAAGCCTCGGCATCAATACCACCTTCTTGATGAATTCATCAGTGAGCAGATCCATGTCCCTAGAGAATCAAACAGGCACGCATGATGTGCATTATGGACGTGAAACTGCCGTCCTTAGTCTCATGTTGATGTTGGGTACCCTTTGGCTTGGTCATACGCTCTATCAGTTTAAGAAAAGGTGAGTTACTTCAGTCTTAGAGCTCAGACTACTGATTATTTCATATTACCTGTTGAGGAGTCGCTAATGATTTAGATCTTAATTTTGTAACCCAGAAAAATCAGGTGGAACTCTTGCATTAGTGGCAGTGGAAGCCAAAGCCAGAGATGAACTTGGCTGGCCACCTGGAAAATGTTAGCAGCAGAACAAAATGTTCGGTCGCTGGACGATGCCCTTCCGTATTTGGTTTGGCGTCACAAGTGACTTTTCAGAAAGTTTTGGGTGAACCATATATTTCATGTTGGAACTCCTATAAATCCTCCCAAATAGGCATTGAACCCTTTTGAGGGGACAAAAATCCTTGATGGTACTGGAAGGTCTACTGGGAATATACCTTTGGTGTGCTCTTGGGAATCAAATGCCCAGCTCTAATTTGGGTTTTATTCCTATTACCCTTTAAAGCTCTTAATTTGAAATGCTTGAGTAAGCAATTAAACTAAAGTGGAAGCGAGACACAAATTGGTGCTTGGAGGGCTTTTTTTCTAGCTTGCATCTTAGTTTCTTGTTTCTTTATGGGTTTTGCTCATGCATTCATCAACCTTCAAAGGCTATAGATTCCAGAAGATTTAGGGCTGAATTAAAGACTAATTCTCTGCTCCAAATATCTGCAAGATTGGACTGAATTGTCACTTGTTAAAAATTTAATGCTATCTAGACTGAGTGACTCTCTCTACAGCGTGGTGTTGATGGAATTTTTGTTTTGTCTTTAAATTGCAGCCCATATCTACATGCGAGAGTACGTGAAATTCTGTCCGACTGTGCCTTACCGATTTCAGTCCTGACTTTCTCTGTTGTGGGTTCCTATATCTTCAAGGAAATTGAAAGTAAGTTGTATTTTTGTTCTCTGGAATACTAGGGGAAGCTATTTAGGGTGGAAGGAAAAGAGAAATTAAATCCTAGGAAGGGTTTGCTAAAAAAGTAGCAAACTTCTTCAATATAATTCCACAAATACCGTGTGTACCTCCCACCACCCCAGGAGCTCAAATTTCCTCAATATTAGATTTAATTAAATCAAAACTCGAATCAAATGAGGCTGACCAAAGCTTTTTCTCTAGATAAATTATTCCAGTGTTTTTTTTCATTTCAATGTAATTTAAAATATGTATCTTTTACAATAAAGAGGATCAACAATTTCTGGCCAAGAACAAAGGGCAGAGTAATTAGTGGGCAGGAAGGGTTGTTGCCAGTCATACAGACGTAGAGTTGATGATCCCAGTCTGTCCTCTTTGTCTCCAGTTTACGTTTTCCTAATTTAGGTGAAATGGTGCAGAGCATCTGGGCAGTTCTAAGTTACACAAGGAAATCTAAAAATGAGACACCATTCATTGGCCAAATAGATCAGCTTTTCCATATCAGGAAGCGATAATGGGGACAGGAATTGCATTGTCCTGTGGTGACGCGAGTGGATGATGTGAGGAAATGTATGGAAACAAATAAGAAATGACTTTTTTTTCTGTGATGGCCATTCCATCCACTTGGACTGTAAAATAATATGTGGCCATGTGTGATTTATCCCTAGTCATGGATTTCTCTCAATGGCAGGAAAGTAGGGACATTTTCTACTTAAATGCCTTGCACAGCTGGTTGGATATGAAGAAGTTTTAAGAGCCCTTCTATCACTTGATTAAATGAGCAGGAGGAGTATACTGTTAGTTAGAAATAAGGTTTTCTAATCTAGAAATGCCTTGCATCTGTGGAAAACAAGCTTCCATCTTTTGTTTTGCTCGAATATACGTAATGCCTCACTAGAACTAGCAGTAAGCTGTCAAATCAGGATGGCAGCCAAGTTCTAAGAGGATGGAGGAAAAAAATAAACTAAAACAGCCAGATGAGCCCATCTGCTATGTCTTTCTAGCTCCCACATACCAGAGCGTCACGCCTGGTTTGCTGTGTTGGTTCCCCATAGTTTTTGGTGTGGGTAAAACATCAGTTGAGTCCATGTGGGTGGTTGGACAAGAAGGTGCCTCTTAACATCATTCTCCTCCTCTTTCCAGTGTCCAAATTTAACTACAACCCATCTGAGAGCTTGTTCGTGCTGGCCCCAGTCCAGTCCCTCTCCATTGGGTCAGTGATGAGTGCCATGGGACTGGGGTTCCTCCTATCAATGCTCTTCTTCATCGAGCAGAACATTGTGGCATCACTCACAAATGCCCCGGAGAACAGGTAATACTTTTGGTACTTCTCTTCCTCTGTGGAGGGATGCCCCCGAGTCTTTTCCCAGCGCTGCTTGTCCAAAGCTTGTCTGAATATCAGAAAAGATGTTCAAGACATCTTCTTTAGAACATTTGTTGTTACAGATCAAAGTAACCCTACTGCTTAACCTCACTATTCTCAAAACATGATATTGTAGGAATGGGCCAAAAATGCAAAGCATCAATGAGCTCCTCACCTCAGCCTGTTTCTTTTTTGCTCATGTGTGAATGTTATGTAGATATTTTCTATGGTTTGAGGTCTGTGGATGTACCTCTGGATATTTAGAGAGTGTCTGACCCAGGTGGACACTTGCAGTGCTCTTGCAGTACAGAGAATTTTTTTGCAAGTGAAAAGTCAATGACCTGAACAAATGTCCTAGAATGATATGCTGCAGTTGAGAATCAGAAAAAAGTGTTTGGAGCTGTTAGTCTCCAATTGAAAAGGTGGAATTAAAACACTATGTCTGATAGGTCTGATTTATGTGCAAACTTGAGTCGAGATGTTGCGCTATTAAAATATTCCTTCTGATGTTTCTGTGCCAACTGCAATCAGATGTGATATCAAGAATGAATGTGTATGACTTTTCCAGGGAAACTACCATGTCTCAGAGGGGTTTTTTTTGCTAATGTAATGCGTGGGAGGGTTCTCTCCTTGCATAATGTACATTAGCATTCTCCGTGTTATAGCTGGAGTGATGCTGAATTAGGGGAGAGAAGACAAGCTCAAATTCAGTTATATTAATTTGATTTTCTTTGACCACTTGATTTTTTTCCTCTTATCTTCTTATATTTCTTTAAGTGTTGCATAAGTCTGTAATGTAACTGGGTCATGTCAATATAAGTTCCTTCTAAACTTTTGATGTTTTCCACTAGGGTGTCTTTAAAGAATGTAAAATATTCTTTGGAATTCCTCATAGAGTTATTTCATAATGCTTTGTACAAGGCTGAGCTTATGCTGATCAGGTATCAGGGTGCATGAGTCTTTTAGAGAAGGAAAACTAGGACTTGACACCACCTCTTTGTGGTACCATCACAGAATAAAACTACAATCATCTATATCAACCAAATGGAGAACATGCTGTTTGGTGTCTTCCCAAATGTAGTGATTTCCTCCTGTAGAAAAATCAGGGAAAAGATGATGCTTGCCTGAAAGTACACCAGTGTGCTTTGCTAAAAAATAATCAAAGCAAGAATATGGGACAGTCCAAGGAATACTGGGCTGATTGGGCAGCGTGATGATAACTCGGGATAAAGGTATCTAGATCTTTGTGTGTTGAACTAGGCAAGCTGAGTGGAGCCTGTCCATTGCTCAAAGCAGGTGTACACCATACAGTGCTGTAAGACTGCTGAGACTGTCAAAGAGTATCCCAAGGGGGGACTGAAATGATGCTGCTCTTAGAAGCATGACCTTTGTACATAGAAAGCCCTCTGAAAAGGGCAGATAGGACAATCAAACAATAGCCCTGGGGATGCTGGAGATGCCTTTGCTTTGAGAAAGCAGCACATGAGCAAGGGGCCGTGCTTTCAAAGTGTAAGCCAACACAGGAAGCGTGTTTACAATCCCACCCTTCCTGCCAGCACCTTCCAGCGTCAGAGACATTACAGTGTAGACATCTACCTGACCTGGTCACCCCGTGGCCTCCTCAGTCAATGGAGGTGAGCACTTCCAAGTGAGATGAGCCTTATTGTTCCAAAACTGAACCCCACCCAAGATTTCTGCTGCCCAAACAATGGCATCTGTTGCTCTTTGAGACAGATATTAGGCATAGATTGTGCCTACTAGGTTGTGTCTGCTAGCTCCATACACCTCATGTCCTAGAGCATCTCTGATGGCTCCAAGTCTCTTCTTGGGTATTGAACAGAACTTGCTTGGGTGGCATTCAGACACCTAAATGGTGCTCCCTTTCCAGTGAGCAATTCAGCTCACTGATTTGTCCAGTTCTGGAGCCCCCAACACAAGAAAGACCTGGACCAGTTAGAACGAGTCCAGAAGAGGCCATGAGGATGATCTGAGGGCTGGAGCAGCT